CTCCCAGCCAGTGAGTGGGTTTTAATGCCAGCCTTCCTGCCCTGGGGCGAGCTGCGTACCCCCGGTGGGGGCAGAGTAGGAGAGCATTGGGAACCAGAGGCACCTGTCTGGCAGCCCGCAGCCCTGCTCAAGTTGGACCCTCCCCATCCGTCCCCACCCCTCCAGGCCAGCTGGACGCGGACATGCGAGAGGTGACCCTAAGTCTGCTCATCCTCCTGACAGGTGAGTACCCATCCCCGGGACTGCCTTTTCCCCAAACCCCTCTGTTGAGTGGTGGCCAAGTTCCACGTGTGTCCCTCTCATGCTTTCCGCCTCCCTTGTGGGGTAGGGACTACCAGGACAGCATCTCCTTGAGGGTAAGAAGTGCCACACTGGTGACTTCAAGGGACGCACAAAGACAGGACCTCTTAAAGCAGAGGCTCACACAGCTACAAAGTCACCCTCTCGAGGGAGGAGAAGGCTCAGCCCTGTGTACTGTGTCTTTAACACCTCCCTAACACTAGTACAAGAGATGACTGGGAGCTTCGTGTATGCGGCAGTTACGGAAATCCTTTGTGCCTCAGTTTCCCCAGTGTAAAAATGGAAACAATAATGGTATGCACTTAATAGTCATTTCACAAGTTAGTACTTGAAAAGCAGTTAGATGGGGCGCCTGGGTGGCTCAGTCGGTTGAGCGTCCGACTTCGGCTCAGGTCATGATCTCACGGTCTGTGAGTTCGAGCCCCGCATCGGGCTCTGTGCTGGCAGCTCAGAGCCTGGAGCCTGCTTTCGATTCTGTGTCTCCCTCTCTCTCTGCCCCTCCCCTGCTCATGCTCTGTCTCTCTCTCTCTGTCAAAAATAAATACACATTAAAAAAAAAGTTTTTTAAAAAAAGAAAGAAAGAAAAGCAGTTAGAACAGGGCCCAGTGCAGAGTAAGCACATTGCGTTTGTGCTTTAAATATAATTAAAAATTGTTAATCTCCTTTTCACAAAGAAAGAACAGAGCTTAGGCCCAGAGCTCAGGTGGCCCACTGCTTCTAGCCCGAATGTAATCCTAGTCCTTTGCTTTTCTGGTATTTTTTTATCCCTCACATCGGGCAAGATTGGCATTCCATGTAGGGTAGTAATAGAAAGCTGCACTTTTGAGTAAAGTGCATTAAGTTTATAATTAGTGATTTGCTTTAAAAGGAAGTGGTGAGCAAACACCAGAACGGGTGGGGTGTGGATGAGGCTGTGAGAATGACCGGGAACCGATGCCATCTGTCATCTTGATAAGTTGATAAGAATGTTGCTCCACGGGGCACTGGGCGGCTCAGCCAGCTAAGCGTTCGACTTCAGCTCAGGTTAGGATCTCGCAGTTCATGAGTTCGAGCCCTGCATCGGGCTCATTGCTTTCAGCACAGAGCCAGCTTCTGATCTTCTGTCTCCCTCCCGTGTTGACTCTCCCTCTGTCCCTCCCCTGTTCATGTCTCTCTCTCTCTCTCTCTCTCTCTCAAAAATAAACATAAAAAAAAATTACAAAAAAAAAAAGAATGTTGTTCCATTTCTGCGGGAGGCATGGATTAGCAGGTGTCTGGAAACACCAGGCCAAAGAGTGGCCTAAAGCCGCCCAGATTAAAACCTATTTTAGGAGGCAAAGTGCCAGCAGGGATCACAGGCTTGGGGCTCGGGGGTGAGTCCACACCTCCGAGGTGAGAGGTACAGGGGCAGCCAGTGGGGGCCGGACGCCTGTGCCCGCAGGAGGGGAACTGTCTGCCAGGGGACCCTATCTCGAGGCCCCTGAGGCTCTGTGGCTCTGCCCGGCAGTTTACTGAGGCTGGCACCGCCATCCCCTGTCCTTCCCGCTTCTCCCAGCAGGCCTGCCTGCCCTGGACGCCAACGACCCAGAAGGTGAGTCAGACTGGACCCTTCCACCAGGCTCACCCCCAAATTCCACCCCCCCCGCACCCCTGCATCTTGGCTGTTGTCCTGGATTCACGTTCTTTTTTCTTTTCTTGCAGATAAAAACAGTCCTTTCTACTATGGTGAGAGCTTGCACCCCTCTCTCCGGAGCCTCCCCACCCCCACCTACTATTTTGTGCCAAGGGGGCCACCTAGGTTGGGTGAGGGTCTGATGTGGGCGAAACAAGGGTGAGGATAGGAAGGGGCGAGGAGTGAGGCACTGAACAGTCAACACCATAGAATAAAGGAATAAAGGAATGAGCGAGGCCAATCTGGTCCCTGCGAAGGTTCTCTTCCGGCAGGACAGACACACAGGAAGCCAGGACAGTTCACAGGAAGCCGTTGTTAGGGTTCAAATCAACGGCAGGGGGAAGGGTTGTCTTGCAAAAACTGCCTGAAGGAGGCGAGCTATGCGGTGGCCTCCCCGCCGTCTCTCAGGCACGGCAGACACACTCCAGACCTCCAGACCTTTGTACCTTCCGATCCCTTCGCCATGGCCCCCTGCCTCACCTCCCCGGGTCTCTGCTCGGAGAAGCCTTCCCTGACCACGCTGGGCCTCTGACTTTTTGTCCCCTGGCCCTGCTTATTTGTCTTCAGAAAGCTTATCTTCACCTGACCTTCCATTGAATCTCTTATCGCTTGTTTGTGTGTAAAGGGGAATGTGAGCACAGGAGGGCTGGGGGGCTGTCTGTTCACTCCGTATCCCCGGCTCCCTGCCCGCCATAGGTGCCCAATACCTACTTGTTGGATAGATGGGGGTTTGATGGGGGGGGGCAGGCACTGACGACCCCCTTCGGGTTTCTCCTAGACTGGCACAGACTCCGAATCGGTGGACTCATCTGTGCTGGGGTTCTGTGCACCATCGGAATCATCGTCCTCATGAGTGAGTGGGGACGCTGGTGGCCGGGCTGGCAGGGCAGGGCAGTGGGCCCGGGTCCTCTCTCCCAACCATCCCCTCTCCCCAACAGGTGGGAAATGCAAGTGCAAGTTCAGCCAGAAGCCCAGGTAAGACGGGTTTCCCGTGTGCCCGGCTCACGCTGAACAGACACCTTTCACTGGTGAAAGGAGCTAAATCTCGCAGAAAGAGGCCTCCCGGCGCTGCCCTGGAGAATTCGCGCCACTAAGATTTTTCCAGGTTTATTCTTCAGAGCTGATAATCTTCAGAGGGCCCCAAATCCTGAAAAGCTTTGGTCCCTGGAATGTTACAACCAGCATTGGAAAAATAGCCAGGAAGCTGTCAGGGCAAGCTGAGAATCTTCTAGCCTTGAGAGGACGAGGGAGTGGATACTGATTTCACGACTTTTCTTTCCCTAGTCACCATCCAGGGGACGCCCCTCCTCTCATCACTCCAGGTAAGACAGGACCAGCGTGGGGTGAGGGGAACACAGGATGTGAGGGGTGGGTGAGTGTGCACGTGTGTGCACGTGCCTTGGGGAGAAAACCCCATGTGCATTCACAAGCTGACCCGTCATCTCTCCCAGGCTCTGCCCATCACTGTTGAGGATGGATCGACCAAAAGGACATGGACATCCCTTCTCTTCCCCCAAGTCTTGGCTCTGCATGGGGGCTTGGACTCCAGGATGGAAGTCTCCCTCCTCTCCTCAGACCGCCTTGCCAGGGTCTCATCTCACCTCTCACTGGGGGTGGGGGTGGGGTGTCTTTCTGTTCGATTTTTAATCTAAAAGTTGATCGTGTCTCCTGCCCAAGCAGCCTCAAGACTCCCTACGTTGGGATGGGCTTTCACTGGCAGCTGGCACAGAAGCTGGCCATCATCTCTCTAAGGCCTGGTGAATGGCATGAGGTCTGCCCTCTGCCTCCCAAGGCTGGGGGAGCCACGGGTGCAATTTAAAATTTTCTAGTAGCCAAATGGTGGACACTCTGGGGAGTGAAAGGGTGCTCTAACCAGATGGAATGCTGGGACATTGAGACCATCCCAGGAAAACAAGGATGTGGATCTTCCTATCACGATATGAGGAGTCACATAGATTATGGTTAGAATAGAAAGACCCCATGACCCCCCCCCC